GTTGTGTATGCATATGCGTGTTCGTGCGTGATGCTGGGGTGATTGTGGGGGGAAGAGGGGGCAGCAGGGAGCCAATCAACAGGAAGCGATCAGCCCCCCGCAAATAAACAGAGCCCACACATCATCACAAATAAAAAGGTCAGTGTCATTACGGTTGCTGGAGGTGGATGTGCGGGTGCGTGCATGAACAAGCAACACGTGTCTGTTTCCACCTTCCTCTCCTCACGAAGCTTCATGTGAATGGGAAATTTAAAAGGTCAACATCATTAGCAGGCCATTGGCAGCGGAACATATCTTGCAATACAGTGAGTTCATCTGCATGCTGACGGCGAGTAAAAGAATTCAGTTGTTATACGGCTCCGGAGCAAGTTTGACCAAAAGCAGGCATGAATAACAAATGCAGGGACACTTACTTATACTCCACCAACCAGTGTAGTTTCCGTCTACATATATTTTTTTCCAGACTCATGAAGTAACCTTGACCTTTGAAATCGAATCAATTCGATTGAAGATTTTAAAAAAGGCTGAGATAGCATGTTCAAGAGGCCAGAAACAGGATTTATGAGGGAACCATCAGTTTATCCGTGAGTCTCAGTGAACATTTGTGCCAATTTGAAGGGTTTCTCTCAAGAAGTTCTTAAGATGACAGGTCACTGTGTCCTTGACCTCCAAACTCTAATCAAGTTATTCTTGAGTCCAAGTGAATGTTTATGCCAAAAATAATGAAATTCCCTTACATCACATTCACAAGAGCATGAGGACACCTTGACCTTCAACCAAAATCAAATCAGTTTATCTTTGACTTCAAGTAAACTTTTGTAAGAAATTTGAAATAATTCCCTCAAGGTATTTCCAAGATGTTGTGTTCACTAGTCCAAAAAGTAGTTTAGTAAGGTCACAGTGAGCTGGACCTTTGACCCTTGACCTCCACATTCTTATCAGTTCATCCTTGAGTTGATCTGAATGTTTTTTACAAAATGTTGAAAGGATTCTGTCAAGGTGTTCTTGAGACATAAAATGGACGGACAGATGGATAGACGTAGGGAGGACAACCCAAAAACCTTAATACCAACGACCAATAGTCTGAAAGCATAAAAAGGAACAGCTAGCATAAACACTGAATGATATTAGCCAAAAAGAAAGAGCCTATGTGAATTGTATGGTGCAGTCTTGGCTGATGAATGATGTGAGCAAAATTAAACAATTAACTGAAACTCAGACACAGAGGCACATCCCAAAAGTGGAAATGCAGGTGGCTCAACAGCGCTGTCTTCAGGAGAGAGAAATGCAGTCACTTATTTGTTATAGATGCTTTGTCCCACTGCACTGATGTGAAGCTGCATGCGCGCGTTGTGTGTATATGCTTGTATGTTAGTGTGTCACCAAGTGAGTGTGGAAAGGGGACACGACTTCCACCAAGATTAATGGAGCCAATCTCCAGGGCTATCCAGCAGAGTGACCATACCCTCCCTATCCTACTTTCTTCTTCTATTCTATTCCGCCATCTCTCTCTCCCTCTACCCTGTTCCCTCGATCTCACTCTAATTAAATGAATCAATCAGTGGCAACACCCAAGCTGGACAGATAGCAGGCGGCACACTGCTACGGCTTACAGCATGTGTGTTTGTGTGTCCCATGAAAAACAAAGGAAGAAAAGCAAGTAATGTAGCCACAACAGATGGAAGAAAAACAAAGACATCTAGAAAAAAAGCCTGATATCAAATTAGAAGAAACATAAAGATGCCTTAGATTCACGGCCCGTCTTCTTCCTCTAACACCACGAGACTTATCAGCTCAGACTATGCTATCACACAGACACATGAATGGACGTTAACCTTTCCAACTGAACTATATACTGTGCCCATCATCCATTATCTCATGCGCCTAGTGGACAATATATAGCCAGTGTCAGGCCCATAATCACATCATTATTATGTAATATATGTACATGATATATCAATGCAGTATTTGACACGTCTGGTGCACAGTGATAGGCAAATCACAGCTTGTATCAATATTGCTTATTAACCTGAGCCCAGATTGCATGTGCACTGCTGCTGTTTAAACCTGAGGTGTCTTATTCACCTTGACCCCTGTGCAGTCATTTTTACTATATTCTTACTGTTGAGATATAACTGACAAAGGTTTAATAATACAAATAGCATGAATGTATTTAATAACACTGCGTCCACTCCAATCCTTAATGCTATGGAAACATATCCATAAATATTCAAGAAGGTACCAGAGGTATAAACTCTGCCCTTTATCATGTGACTGGAAAATGATATAAATATTGTTTTGATAAATATATTTAAATGTAAGCAGACAGAGTGAGGCTTATGTGTGTGTACAAGTCTTTAAAAAGTATAAATGTGCACTGGCATATGCGTGTGTGCTATTAAATTTCTGTTTGGCTCCGATCTCCTCAGCTCCATTCCAGAAGAGACAAAACCGCACATGCTAAATGCTAATGTCTTCACCCAGTTCAAACTATCTCACACATTAATGTGTGCTTCAGTGGCTGCAGAGAGCAGATGCGACTATAAAATGTGCTCCCCTATGGTTTCCCTGTATGCGGCTGCAGCCAAGGTGTACGAGAGAGGGTGTTTAATGTGCTGTAGCAATATTGAGCCCTCTCTCTCTCCCTCCCGTGTCAGCCACGCTGGTTCTGATGCCAGCGGTGTGTGTCTGCCTCTGATAACACCTGGCACAGAGAGTATCACTGCGCTTAAAGAGAGCACATACAGTACAAGCACACAAACACGCTCACGCTCAAAGATATATAGACACACATGGACACACTCATCCAGATCTGCCCTATTACTGGAAGGTTTAGCAACCATTATATAGAACCATCACTTTGATTTTTAATTATCCATTGCAGTCACAGAGTTGAGATAGAATCACCACCTGGCTGATGGGAAGCTCCTGACATAAATTACTTTGTAAACCTGCTTCAAAAACCTACTTTAGCTTACACTTCCTGGATGAAAACCCCTTTATTGAAGCTCTTATGACAACTAAATGAATAAAACTCCACACCGAGGAAGATAACAGTCTGTTACAACCGTGACACCGTAGATGAAGACCATCAAAGAAACCAGTGAGAAGTTGAGCACATGAACACAACCACACACACACAGGTGGGAAAACAGACGCAAGTGGCTACAAATACAGTACACGCACGAGACAGCATCAGAAACACACACAGATGCCATCCTGACCCTCAGACGTGAATGGCAGGAGAAGAAGAGTGAAAGGCTCTTTTATTTAGCCCAATTAAAAAAAGGCAAGAAGCCCAAACAAAAGAAGTGTTTTATTGCACTCCCCACTATCAGCAGAAAGGCTCATTAGCCACAGCAGCATAATTAGCAAGATGCTGCACTCCTCGTTAAGGAGGGGCCCGAGCTGTAAACAAACCCTGCTGAACTCCAAACGCCCACGGTCTCTCTCGCCGTAATGAACTGCCACCGCTGTTCCCTCCCTGTGAGAGAACCAGGCGTGCAGACAGGAAGGCTCTGACAGAAACAAACACACCGCAAAACGCAGGGAACACACGAACACACGAACACACACACACACACACACACATACTCACTGACAAACGTGTAAGTTCTGCTACACAAACACCAACAACACAAACAAACTAACTCTCTGGGACACAGTCTTCCTTGACAACTGCGCGGACAAACACACATTACACACAGACATGTCAAAAATATATGTGTGCATGTGAAATGTCATTTTCCAAAATATTGTAGACAGAGAGTCAAACTCCAACAATCATTAAGAGTATCTGACAACTGAGACATAGAGAAATCTTGCCAGCTGCCTGGATCTTGACATCGGCACTGCTGTAATCCTCAACCTGCCATGAGCCTGTTTTGAATAAGAGAGGCTGCCAAAATTAGCAAGATGAGCCTGTGGTTAAATATGGTGCAGTCAATGAGGCGGACAATATAAGATCTTTTTTTTCTTTAATGGTTCCAGTTCTTTGCTAAATTGAGCAGTTGTCATTTGCAATTTATTTGGATGTAATTTTGAGCAGCAGATGAAATTCATATCCTTTGTATTGGGGTGGCAATATACAAATTCAAATGTGAAAATCTAAATGCATTAGCAGTAGGGTTGGGTATTGAATCCGGTACTTTTACCAGAATTGACCAAATTACGATTCACAATCAATCAAATTTTGTCCACGAGTTACAGACTGCAGAGGGTGCCGGTACTGTATTAGTTAACACATGAATGATCCACAATATTAACCAGTACGCATAACCAAAATCTGCCTCACAAAATACCACTAGAAATATGGAGTAAATTGTGACTTGAATGCAGATTCCACGTACAGACAAATGTTCTTGAACACATACACACAGGTTGCACCAGACAGAAGGAAGAAAGACATCCCTACAATGAGCACAAGCACAGTGAACCTGTGGTGAACCCAACCCACTACTTGTGAGTGTGTGTCTGCCCCTGAACCAGCAGAGATCACAGAGAACTGCTAGGTAAGCATACCCAAGCGAGTCCTCCTCCATTGAACAGAGGTAATAAAGGGAAACGTTATGAAACGGGTTGTGCGATTGTTTATTAAGCCTCTCTAACTGCTGACATTTGGATGCGCTACACACAAATTCTATGTGTCTGATTTTGTGTGAACAAAAGTTGAAGGCTGTGCCGTTCAGTGTACTCAGCCCATTCTATTTAAACTCCCCGAACTATAGACATCAACTTGTGGCAGAAACTGTTAAAAGCTTGTAAATACACAATATAACTGGAGGACACAGTGTAGTTGACACCTGCACAATAACTTTTTATTAAGCACACTGTTGCAGTCCTGCACTGGGTTGGGTGCCAGCGGGTTTGCAAAAACTGATCCGTATAGGACTCTGCATTGTTGATTCTTCTCAATGTTTGTTTTTTTTGCTCACATTTTGTGATGTAGAATTTAACTGCCTTGTGTTCCCGCTTGTTTGAATGTTTTGGACATTCCTCACCTGCAGCAGAGGTCTCTGGACGCCCAGAACCTTCATGGTATCAGCGCTGGCAAGGATCTTTAAGGGGTCGGCTGTCTTGCTCACTGTCTCAATGTCCTTGTTGATCTCTGTCCGCACCTAATGATTCGGAGAAAGAATTTTATATAAAAAGGATAAGAGGCAGCAAAAAGACACACATACCTCACTGTTGTCCACTGGGAGTCAAGCTACAGTTATCTAACCTTCTCTGAAAGAACCACTCAGTTTTCGCTCTTGTATTTTCTTTTTCCACTTTTTATTTCCTCGTGTATTTTTCTTAGTTCTGATCTGACATTTCATTTGACATCTGGCTTCAGGCCATTCAGCTGGGAAGCCATGCACTCTGGAACTGTGTGGTTGGGTAAGAACAGGTATTCTATTAAGGTTATATTGAGAAGATTAAGTAACACAATACTCACTAGCTCTATGCCATTGTGTTTTTTTTTTTTGGTTCGATCAAAGAAACCCTGAGGGGGTGCAATGGAACATTTGATTCCACGTCAATTGATTTTTTTTAAGACTAGGAGCCCCACAACTGCAACAGAGGAATTTTCTAATATAGTGCAAAGGGTTAGATTGAGTAACAAGATCAGACTGAGGCTTTCAGTGAAAGTCGAAGTAACGTAAGTAGTAACAAGCACCTTTTTTTAACATGAAATGTAAATCAATCTGTTATTTGGTGTTACCAGTTCCATACCTGAGGTTTTTAATATGAAAATTTATATTTTCTGGGAAAGCAAACAAGTTCCAATAAAGCCTTTTTCAGAGAACGTCCAAGGAACTCCCTCGGACATTTGCGTTCTCATATCCAGCCCCTCTGGATAATTTCAGTTCATGTCGGAAAGCAGCTTAAAACATTTATTTGAAAGCTGGTATTCAACACTGTTGGAGAGTGCATCCCCGTCACTGACCTGGTTGAGAAAGAGGTCGTTGATGTAGTAGGTGAGGAAAGCTCGAAGCTGGCACTGCTTGGCCTGACCTGGCCCCATGTTCATCTCTATCTCCTGAATGAATCTGGGCAGAACAGACGAGAAAAACACACATTAGAACGGCAAACACAAACTGACAACAGCTGCTGTGAACAGAGTTTAATTCACCGCTGAAATATTTGAGGAGCAATGAGACACAGACTTTTGACCAGCAACACAGTAACTTTGCATCAGTGGGTTCAGTATCGCCTAGAAGGGCAAGATCTCCAGTGGGGACTACTTTTGAAAAGCTTAGTGTGTCTCTCAAGGTGCCTTTGAGCACCTTTAAGTGCTCCAGTGGAGCTGCTTAGTGCCATTAATGCAGACCTTAGTTAAACTAAGCAACCCTCAGATGAGAGTGTGTGCAAGAAAATATGTAAAGGAAACTTAGTACAAATCTATATGGTAGAATAAATGTAAACGCCAAAGTGAATTGTAGGCATTAATGATAAAAACAATGAGAGCTATACAGTCCAAATGCTGTTTGGATTCACCCAGGAAGCTGGTCTCTGGTTGGTCAGATGGGGTCAGACAGTTATGTATGGGTTGGTGGAGGCACATGCACACGTCGTTTGTCAGAGAATCATTGGTCACTGGCCTCGTCTCACACACACCGCTGGGCAAACCATGCAACAGCGGGTGCCTCCTGAAGCGCTCAGCACATATAAATGCACAAATAAATCAAAACTCCTTCAAAAAAAAGGATTCTTTGACCTAAAGGACCTGTGATATATATGACCTGGACGTATAGGAGAAGAGAGTGCAAAGAAAAAGGTAAGAGAAAATTGTTTTATGTGACAAAATTGTGAAAAACTGAGGGCAGAGGAGGGAGTGAGGCAACAAAGATGACTCTAAAAAGAGATTTGATTGGACATGGCCATTTGTAAAAAGCAGGAGGGAGTGTTTGGAAACAGTGTTTGCACTCTAGTGAAGTCGAAGTTACAACCAGTACACTGCAGAAAAAACAGTGACACAGTTTGCAAGAGTTATAGATCTGCGAAGGTGCGTGATTGATTTGTTTACACATTAATGTACATACGCATACAAATGCAAGCACAAGCACACTTAAAAACACCTTCACACTAACACAAAAAAGAGCAAAAGCTGCACGATCACACCACTCAGCATCTGTGCCCAATTAGTCGGCAAGAGTTGAGGCAAGCGTGTGTGTGTGTGTGTGGTGGGGGGGATACGTTCATCCTTGTGTCAGAAAGAGCAAGATCGAGACAGAGTGAGCGAGGAACCCAAACCTATTTTAAATCTTTCATTGATTCCCACTGAAACTCTACCACAACAGAAAGTTAAGTAGGAGAAACTCTTCCGTGGCCTCATTAAAACCGTCAAGCTCGCAAAAACAATGGAGGCCCAGACACACAGCTTCTCTGTATAAATGCAGAATGTACTTAAACACTCCTCCTTCACAAAAAATTTACAATTTCTGCTGACAACTTCATTTTTGGGAATCAATTCCGGGACAAAAGTTGCCGGTTGGAACGCGTGTCGCCTTGTTCCGAGATCCATCTCGCTCTGTCATTATTGTCATAGTTTCAATACCAGCAGCAGGATGATGGATCTTCAAGTTAGCATGTGAGCACAGATGGATTTTTGTAGGCAGGGGTGATAACATTTGAGTGATGTTGCAGGGACGAGGCAGTAAAAATGGCTTTGTCAATCCAGACGGCCATCTGGAGCGGCAGGCACCTTCATGAGGGGATACTGAGCCCATGGGTGCTTCGAGGGAGATTCGCCAGAGGTAACTGGGGTAAAAGTGCTGTTGGGGCTCACAGTGTAGAGCACATGTCAGCAAATTTACATTTTTACAGTTGGTAAAGTTTAGTGACAGAATATCCTGTGTAGATTCAGAGAAATCATTTGCCACAAGGGGTCTCTCCGTCAAAACAATAACAGAAGACCTAGTTTGTTGAAGTCGTGAATCAGTGCCAGAAAGTCTCCCTGACGCGAATCAGTTTGATTTATTTAAGGTTTATTCACATCCCGGAAGTTAAAGCAGAGATGGACAAAGGCGACCAAACTGAATTTTGGGATAAAGTCAGTCCACAAGTCAACATAATATATAACATAGGTCTAGTAACTTTGAGACAATTTATTAAAGAATTGTTCCATATTATATTTAAGTAGAAATAACGTGGAGCCAAGCACAGAAGAGCTTTAAGATTTCTAAATGGATTCTGAAAGGAAGTCTCTCCCAGCTCATTATCATTACAACCACATCTTCCCAACATCTGCCTCACCGATGGCTTGACATACTGTATAGAGAGTAACAGCTTCTGGTGACGATGATGGTGGTGATAACAAATAACACTGAACACGTTAACACACACACACACACTCACACACATTCAAAAGCCATCAACTCGTCTCAACTCCGAATGAATCACAAACCCCCAAAACTCGCCGCAGCACTATCTTCGCGGGCTGAGCTGTACAAGGCCATTTGCAGAAAAAAAAAAAAAAAAGAGCCGGATCCGGAGCCAAACCTCCTACACAGAAACATGGTGAGACAGCCTGACCTCTCACCAAAGAATGACAGCGAGCTCGCCTCGTCTCATCTCTCAAGGCTACATCTGAGCTTGACTTCACATTCATCTGGATTGACATTCTCACCAGTTATCATGAGCTCCTGCGTGATGCATCAGAACATGACCTGATTTGAAAGCCTCTTAACTCGTCTGGCCTCAGTTCTTTCTATGCTTTTGGTGGAAAAGTTTGTTTTAGCTTTTATTAAACAAGTCGGAAGTCTCGAGTGTTCAGTCAAAACGTATTTAATAATTGCTTTAAAAGAAATGTGGAAGTCTTTCAACATCTTTCAAGCTCGTGGCTGTAAACTTGTATCGGTAAATTTTCTTCACAGACATACCATATAATATGAAAGCCAATTTAATGGTACAAAAATAACCTCCATTATCTGAAAAACCATTAGGCTACTCATTTAAAACGATGATTTCAATCAATTCAAAGCCACAAGAATTCAGTAATGGGGCCCACTTCATCTTATGAGGCTGTTATAATTGGACCTGATATGACAGCAACAATGTCAGTTCTGTTGCCAGGTGACAACAAAACACAGCAGTCGCCCATATGGCAGCTGTACGCGGCGGAGGTGTCAGCCAAGTCATGGAGGTTGATGCTGTGGAAGCACGACAGAGACACAGCGGCAACAACACAGTGTGGACTCGCCCCTGTGTGTGAAATCTTAGTGGTCGTAAATAATCTGCTTATCTGCCCTCTCACACACACCATTTCCTACCGGCCTCAAAAAAAAAAGCATCACGCAGAGTGCAACGGCAACGGTTGTAATGGTGGTTGTCAATTAGAGGAAGGGAATCTGAATGAGATCATTAAAAGGGCAACGAGATCAAGAGAGAGTTTGTGATAGTAAAAAAGATTTCTGTCAATCCGAGTAGTAAGACATTTCCTTACTGCTCCATCACACTGAACTAATGCCGATACGTGTGCAATAAAACAATAGCAGTAATTATCCCAATATAATTTTCATTAACATTTAACATAAAATATGAAAAAGGTTTAATATATATCCACATAATGTTTACGCATCGTGCAAACACTGTGAAGAGGTAATAAATGATCAATACAAATCTGTTTTTCTCATAAACAAGATTTTAAGACCTCAACCTTCTCTCAAGAGCAAACATCATTTTTAATATTCAAAGAAATAATCATTGGAGATAAATCGTGATCATTATCCATCCATTTTTTGATATTAATATCATTTTTTGACCATATCATCCAGCCGTAGGTTTTAGTTTTGAGAACTGTGCTCACAAACTTCTATCTATCTGGGATCTGGTCATATTACAAGTAAAAACAAAAGCCAAATAGTTCCTCATTCAACATTTTATACTTCTGTTTTGCTTTAGTTGTCATATGTGAAGGTTTCTTATTTTGCAGTGTCACTTTGAGCTTTTGAAAATTGTAACAGGAATCTCCGGCTGTTGTATCACTTTTCACAAGCCAAATGATTCATGCATCCATTGAGAAAAAAACTGGCAGATTAATCAATAATGAAAACAATCTCCAGATGAAGCCCAACATTTAATTAAAAAAAACCTTCAAGGTTTGCCATCATTTCCTTTGAGACATTTTTCACAAACAGAGTATTAAATAGTTTATTGTCATTTTTCTAACCAAAGGCAGAACAACATTGACCAAGCAAACACACAAATGAGCCTGAATCAGTTTGTGTGGAGACTACAGCCAGAAAGCAACAGTTCCCATCTTCACGTCCATTCACTACAAGTCGCACAGGTGCCAAGAACTCATCACACACATCCTCCAACACAAACACACACACAGATATTCAAATTCAAATAGGGTGTACAATAGTGTCCCCACACTCGCCTCAGGGTGTGTTGTCTCCTCTGGAGCCAACATGGCTGCACCAACGCACTCCAAACCCAGTTTCTTAGCAGCAACTGCAGATGATTGCATTTGACAGCATGTAATTATCTGTCATTGGGAAACAGATGTCAGAGCCCAGGGTCTGGGGTGGGATAATTGTAGATGCTATGCCCTTTGTGTATGTACGTCCAGAAATAACACTCCTGAATGGAATTAAATGTATTTATACCAACAGGGATTTGGCTAATGAGCGAACCTGGTGCTTCCTAATGGCTTTCTGATTAGTCAGAAAACGCTTAAGTTAGTTTTTTTTTAAGATAGTGAAAACAAATGATGACAGACAGGGACAGAGATGTTGTATAGCAGCAGATCTGAATTCATTTCCCACTGGAAACTAAACCTAAGGTAACAAATGCTTCTTTAAATGGAAAGGGTTGGGATCCCATCATCCATCTTTATCTGCAGCCGTGGCGTAATGATGCCGAAAGAGAAATGGGATAAAGACAAAGATTTAAGAAAGACGGCGGAATAAGAGTGTGCTAAGATCGATTAGAGACTCAGCATTTTTAAATCCCCCAGAATTCTCCTCAGGCACGAATCCATCAGCTACGGTGAATTCAGATTTTTTTTCTTGCTGCTGAGAGAGGAAGGCTTGATCTGTAAAGA